TGCTTCTCTCCTCCAAGCCCCATTCTCATCTTTGAACAGTAGTCATAACCAGTATCAGATAAGCTTCGGGGGTGCTGAGCAGAGCTGTAGCTCTTCTGATATGAGCTATGGCAACGAGCAGCAGCTGGGGTTTGAGAGCTATCTCTATGCTGGGCTTGGCTGGGGAGATCATCAGGCCCAACCTCAGGCTCAACCTCCATTAGAGTATGGTTATGAGGAGATCAAGAACTTGATCAATGGAGGTGCCGGTGCTGACGCTGATGCTACAGTATATAATGATCCAGAAGACAGCTTCAAAGCCCAAGGGAGAGGATCAGTCATGTACCGTTTCTGATCTCTGTAAAATAAAAAGTTTGAAGGGCAAAAGATTGAAGAGGTATGGTCTGTGTCTGTGAAGTGAAGAGTTAAGTATTATTTTATAAGGGGGAGAGAGAGAGAGAGAGAAGGTACTTCTCGGGGGTGAAAAGAGAAGGAGACATCTGTGACTGTGTTGGCTTTCATTTGTGCATTTCTTTCCTTTCATTCACTGTGATTTGATGTTTTGATGTATGTGTGGTACAATCGTCTAGATATAGACAGCATTGGAGAAAATTTATAAAGTCTTGTCATTCGTAGGGTGTAGTTGTGTAGTCAGTCCTAGTCCTAGAGAGGAGATCATTCAGCAATCAGATCCGCACATGCACTTCTCTCCCTCTCTCTCTTCTCTCTCTCAAATCCAAAGGATCGTCTCCATTGGATTCATTGGTACTTTGTGATTCAAAACAAAAATAAAGGTTGATATGTAAATACATGTTTCTATTATATAAAAGTTTTTGTGATTTCTACTGTATTAGCATTTGCATCTGTCGTCTCCAATAATAACGTGATCTTTGCGTTAGTTTTTGACCTACGAGTACCTTTCATCAAAATGGTCGATCTATATAAATTAAGATCTAACTTTAGTTACCGCATGATTTTCACATATTATTAAGAATTACGGGAAAAAAAAATATCACGTTATATGTGCTGACTATAATACAGAGGATATTTGTGCTAATTATAAAATAGATATCACTGTATAGTCTCTCTCTCTCTCTCTCTCTCTCTCTCTCTCTCTCTCTCTCTCTCTCTCTCTCAAGTTTGAAACTTACTTCGTTAAAGATATTAAGAATGGTTATAAGCTAAGATAGGATCTGCACCATTGGAAATGTTTGTGTCAGGGTTTTATGTTTTATAATCTTCTGTGCTTAAAAACTGAGATTAGATTCCTACTTTGGGGATTGTAATATATTTGGCTTGGCTGGTTATAATCCCTATGTATTAGCAAACAAATAGGGATGTCGGCCCTTTGTTTCTCTTTCTAAAGAGCAAGATGACCTAGTATTAATATTAATATTAATATTATTAAGAAGAGAAAATACGTGAGGTCTCTCGTGAATTTTAGCATTGACTAGCTGAGGTAAAAGGGTCCTTGTGCGGTGCATCGAGCGACTCATCAGGGTCCAATCTTACGAGCCAGGGGCCCAGGCTAAATGTTATGTACCCTCCCTTTTGCGTACTGTCCTTGCACATATTCAGTTATGTACTACATACTCCTCATAACTCATAAGTCAAAGCTCAAATGATGGTTTAAAATTAGGGCAGGAGGAGAGTAAATGGGACTAGTCAATTGAGATTGAAATCTAACTTGATTTAAAAAAAAATAGTGTTATTTAATGGATTTTTTAAATTAAAGAGCTAAATTTAAGCATGTATCTAACTGAGTACATTTCTTCGTAATTTATTGATCAATCTGACAAAGATTTTTTTTTTTTTGAAACTAAAAAAACAGAATGAGATGCCATGTTCAAATATTACTAGTAACACTAACTTAACCCAGATGTGATTAGTCTAAGAGTAGAATTGATTAAACAGTTCATACCCAAGAGGAGGAAGATGACCATTGTCGTCACCTACTATAGAAATCATAGATGTTTGGTCAAAAACAAAACTTAAACTAATTAACAAATATGTGAAAAATTAGGCGAAAAGAGTAACATGAGTTTAGAGCTATCACTGGCTCTTGAGCTATTCACATAATCATATCCAAAACATAACAGCATGAAGAGACCATCATATATAGTTTACAAAAAGCTAGCAAAGAAAATTTGGTGGGGGCTTTTTCGAAATTATCTCTACACGAGCCTCGTCATCATCTGTGGATGTCTCATCTTGCAACAGCTGCCTAGCAATCCCCCTCCTCTCCACCATCTGCTTGAGTGTGGATGATCTCATGGAGGCGAGGTTCCCTGTCCATAACAGTATAAAGTATGCCAATCTGACAAAGAATTGTGTCTGACAAGGTAAAGAAGAGGCTAATGCTTCTTAACCGTTCACTTAAACAGTTGCCAAACAGCACAAATGGTTAATCTAAGTAACTCAACATTTAGTGGGTTAATTTTAACTGTGTATGAGCAAAAAAAAATATTAAACCTTGATTATTATGCAGACTTTAAATAAATATGTAACTTCTAATATGAAGCCGTACAGAATTTGTGAGTGTTGAAACTAATAGAAAGAATATGACTTCAAATCTCTTAAATTTAGTTCCTCTAACCATTACACCAAAACTCTGAAGTTATGGTGAGGATCAAGGATTATAATTTTATATTAATTCTAACATGCACGCGCAAGTCGAGCGCCTTTTTTATGGATCGAAACCTGGACTCACGTAACAATGTTAATTTTTAGAAAATCCGTATTTAATTTGTGGTCAGTGGGATTTGAACCTGGATTGCTCTGATAACATCTTAAATTTAGTTCATCTAAACAATACACCACTGAAGTTATGGTGAAGATTAAGGATTATAGTTTTATATTAATTCTAACAAAATCATCAAAAATTAACGGATGCCTACCTTATATGTGTGCGTGTGTTTGCACCCATATGGAGCCTTTTAATACTCAAAAGGTATAACTGCATACACTTACAAAAGTATTGATATACAATATACTTCTATGAGAGACTTTGATTTTGATTTTGATGTGTTTTAAAGCTATGAAAATTAATGATACGTTTTATGATTATTTTCTCATGAACATAATTTTTTTTATGAAAATCAAGTAATTACTACTGAATGACTTTTCAACAATACAATTAAATAAATCTTATGATTCATAAGTAAATTATCTACAAGATTAATTCGCTCAATTGCAATCTACATTTCTGAAGTACTTAAAAATAAAACATCATTTTCTTTCAAGAATTTTAAACATGAATCAGTGATTTTCTTTAACGTCCTTCAGGACCCAACTATTTTACAATCACTTAGAAAATGCTTATGGAAATGGTTAGGTTTTTTTCTTAATCCATATAGATCTTGAAGCATGCAAATTAAAATGTACGGTTGAAGTTATATGTGTGCATGTGTGTGTGATAACATGCATGTGTGTGTGTGTGTGTGTGTGTGTGTGTGTGTGTGTGTTTGTTAACATGCAGTTTTTTTAGGGAAATAATGGGGAATCCTCTCATGGGGGAAGAAGACCACTGTTCCAAAATTGTATGACGACCGTTATAATAAGTTTTGATACCTTAGGGAGGTCAGTGGTTCCAATAATAATAAAAATATATATATTAAGGACAGCTCTATATTAATTAAATTAAACGACAATGAAATTGCATATGGGAATCCATTGACCTCCTAATATTAAATTTATCACTGTAGTTTTGGACATTTAGATTATTCGTTGCCAGCTCTTGTACTTCGCTTCTCGATTTAATTTGGATTATCCTTTTCTTAATCAGACTTTGAAGTTAGGAGCACACCATTTTTTTAAATAGGAATGTTTTTTCTTCATGTTGTTACTTTATATTTGTGAGCGTAATACAAGGGTCGGTTGCTTTTTCTATGTAGTTTAAGTTTATATATGGACTGCGGCTTCTCTTCTCTTGACGAGCACAACTTGAAGTATATTGTCGATTGTTGCAGCATGCAATTTTTCTAATGTTGGTGGGGGTGTTTGGCGGTGACATTAACTAATTCAATGTATCAAGTTTGAAGTCCAAAGTTTTTCCAAGAAACGTTAAACCGATTTGGAAAACCTCGTCTTAAGACTTTTACATATTTTTGATTTTTCTCTTTCCATAATTATCTATAAGAAGACATTAAAGCTTTGCATATGCTTTGTTCTCCTCTCAAAGTCCCATTCGCTGTTAATAGTCGTCCCCCAAATTCGAGACTTATTTTTCTAAGGTTAGAACGATTCTTTAAGCAAGCTTTTAAGTGGCTATTTGCGTTGTCTAAGAGACTGTAAAATATATAGAAACCTTTGTAAATTTACAGGACTACTCAAATGGACTCAAAAAAAGTATTTGAAGCGTCCTTTTTTAAAAAAGCAAACATAGGAGATAACTCCCCCATTCAATTTTATTTATAGATAAACAAGAAAGGATAAATAACAAGATATACATGAGACAGGGGCATTTGGAGGAGCCGCAACAACTTTATTTTCAATAATACTCTCTCTTCTCCCTCCTCTATTGCAGCTAATTCTTCCCGCTTTGTTCTCTACTGGACAGGGGCTTCTAAGAGCAAAAAATCACAGAGGATGCTTAATGCGGCAATAAACTCTGGTCTGCCAGCGATAGTGGAATCTTCTCGGAATGAAAACTTCGAAGAAAATCATCCTTAAGGGTTCGGGTCCCCAGGAGATCCATTTGGTTTTGGAAATTTCAGTTTTTGTTAGTTCCCCAGTAATCTCTGCTATTGGGACAGTAGCTTCCTCCGGTTCTAGCAGTCCTCAGCTCATCCTGAGTTCTTTGGCTTATCAAGTTGTGGAAATGTGTTTTGGTAATGTATTTGTAATCAGTTTTTGTTACGTTGGTTTCTATTAGCAACTTCTGGTTTTCTTTTTTGATTTTTTGAGTTCTCCTGGATTAAGGAAGGCTTGGAAGCACGATAGGTGTAGACTGGAGGATGACGACAAAGGTCCGCTCTCCTCCGTCTACATCTATTGTACTTTCCTCCTCCTCCTTTTTTGGTAAACTCAGGTTCAAATGTATATTCTGGTTGTGATATAAATATATTTTTATGAACAGGGCTTTTCGCCCTGTTTTTGGCTTCAAAAAAAAAAGATATACATGAGAAAGTGTCCAATGTGGTTTTACCAAAGAAACAATATTTTCTGAGACATAGAGGTAAACAACTTTCTCTCTCAACAGATCCATGAGGATGAAGAGTAGACATTGCCTTCATTCACTGCAATCCCACATGTAGTGAGGGACGAAGGCAAGCCCCAAATATATGAAAGAGAAACTATTGTTTCCTTTAGATTTTTAGGACAACTTATTCTTACAGAAAGAATTAATTTGGCACA